ATAATAACTTGACTATTGTGTAATAGTGCTGTGTGACGTGTTTATTTGCTTAGTAACTGGTAAGTTTACCGACCCAAAATGCAATCTAAGCCATATCACCTGTTTGGCTTGTTTGTTTGCGAGCGTTGAAAAATGAGCCAAAGCTTCTGTGAATTTGCAGGTGCACATATGTACATATATACTGTATGTGAATTTATAAAACAACTACGCTACCTTGGTTACACATTGAGGTTGTTTAACTTCTTTTTATTGAGCCACAACAACAACCATTTATTTTTAAACATGTTTGGTGTATATTTAACCGCTGAATCGGCAATGCCTTGGGAGTGTTTCAAGCAACTGTGACAAAGTGACAAAGAACCTATTTTACCATGCGTGCTTTGCTTTTACTGAGTTATACATGTCTAGGTATATTATTTTTCATAGAAATATGTTTTACTAATTAGGGAAAACCTTGAAATTTAATGTGATATTAGTTTAAATTAAAAAATGGCAGCTAGTTCCATAGATGTACAGTGTATTCACCAATATTAGCTTAGAGCGGCCAATAGGTTACGATTAACTCTAATTAAATCGCAAAAATATTTGTGAGTTGCAATTCATTAAGAATGTTCTAAATTTTTGAGGTATAGATAAACCTTTGATTTGGTCAAAAGTGTGAAAGTTTAAGTGGAGTTTCTATATTTGCGGAAAAATTTAAAAAAGAAATAGTTTGAAATACGAAGCCGCCGGGATCAGAAATAAACCTTAGTAGCACTATGATTATTTGCTACTTTTATTTCAACATGATATATTCTCGGATACACACACCACAAAGACGTGTTGTAAGGCTATACCTGAATCCCAAGAGTATAAAATATAGAAGAGAAGAGTAATTGCTACAAATATTTCAAAATAATTAGAATTACGTCTATGAAAATCTGTAACCGTTAACAGGTCAACTGACTATCTTTCTTTAATGGATGGGATCTTTAAGAACAGTTTTCTTGCTTTAACTTCTGCCAGAAAGTCTTAAAAAAATATTTTCTACTTTGACAGTACAATTTCTCTCCAATATTTTGTGTATAGAAATATCATATTTTTAGACCTGATTCTGAAACCTTACATTCGATCAGAGTGATATACATACATATGTACATGTTTAGGCGAAATATGTAAGTATATCTCATTTAATTTTCGATTGCAAAATTCGATTTGAAAGTTGTTTAAAAAAATCAAAAATATGCCTTTACTATATAAATAGAAATCGAGCTTTTAGCATGATTATTAACTTTATTTCTAAGTAAGACTAAACACCAATAATTTGAAAACTTTGCATAACTAATAGATATACATACATATATGTATATTGTACAGTTACCTGCATACACCTATTTCAGCGTATATAAAACTAAAATACCGGATCTTTCTTCTTTCAATAAAGCTTCAACAACTTTGAACTCGAGGTCAACTTCTTTTATAAAACGTGCAATAATTGTTTATTTTTAATTCGAGCTTAAAAATATGCCGTTAATTTTTTGTTAAAAAGGTTATAGCCGTTAAATTTCCTCGATAAACTCACTACTTATTGCTAATAACTTATTAAAATGTATAATTTTCTTTACAAACACGCACACATATGCAAAGAATTAACGAAAATTAAATGCCAAATCAGCAAGAGGTGTGGCAGTTGGAGCTAATTTTAAAAAATATAGAAAATATTTTTATTTATGGTGATAATAAATCAAAAGTCTTTGTTAAATCAGCTGAATTCTACCGAGTGCAAGCACAGGTTCTTATCGTAAAAAAACACACACACATGTATTTATATAAATCGTGTATTTTAAGTTATATTAATGAAAAATTATATATGCGCACATGTTCCGCCGCACTGTGTGTGTATCACGCGTGCTCTTATCATTATAGTATAGTTATTGTATATGCCTGTACATATGTGATGTGATACATTTATTTATACTGTATTTAATAGTAAATAATGATAGATTAAAAATTAGTAGTTTACAAAAATTTCCATTAAAGCTATTTTTGAGAGGCTCCAAATTAGTTTTATTATTGATATAAGATGGGTCATCTGGTAAATCATCGCCCATACTACCAAGCTGTTAAGTGATAATATTTTGTTTATGAAAATGAATGTAAATAATTTCTTAATATAAATATTTAATAATATTTATCGGCTTATGTTATTGAAATAGTCTCCTTGATATTTTTTGTGTTGCCTCTGAAGCACTGTTAACTTTCAATTAGAAATATTATATTTTTAAAAATAAATATATATTAACTTTTCTTGCGGTAACTGTTAAGTAAAATTCTTCCTCGTTACCAAATTTTAACTTTATATCCAGCCTTTCTAACTTCTACATCCAATTCCCTACGCTGTTTGCCGAGTTTTAGTTTCTGTACAAATTAGTAGCATGCGATTTTTTTTTCTAAAAAAATTGCGGAATTCGATAGTGCACGTTTTCTTAAAAGAAAGGGTTATATGCACATTAATATACTCTGAGCACTGGATTTTTGCTTAAATTCGCAAACATGTTAATAATAACATTATAATATATAATATTATATAACAATAATAACGTTGACTTTTATTTGTTACTTCGAAATTGTCTCTATGTTTACACAATAGGTCAATATTGCTGTAAAAGCAAAGAGTTACGTATACGCAATGTACGCATATAAATAACAAAATAAGATAAAATGCTGCAAAGCTAATTAAATGTTTTTGAAGACAACATTTTTAGAACAAATAAAAATTTTTAATATTTTTATTAATTTTTTAGCAATAAATTTTTTTTTAATTTACTTATTTAGCTTTTAGATGCGTTAGTTCGATTGATAATCATATCAAGGCATACAAAATATTTTATATAAAGATTTTTTATATTGTTAAAGAAAAAAAATTAAAAATAAAGGTTTTTTATATTGTTATAGAAAAAAATATTAAGAATCATGTTTTAATAATTATAATATTTTATTTTATTATATTATATTAATAAATACTTATATGTCTGTTTTGAATAAGTGACAATTAAAGGATTTAACGGATATAGACACTTATTTATAGCTGTTAGCACTCATAAATGCATGTATATAAAAATATACACGTGGTATTATATACATACATATGTATATATGTATTGTTTATCTGTATTTTTGATATTTTATTTTTTCGTTTACAAATTACCAGCTGTGAAATAGGTTTAGCAACCACAGGTGACTTTGTCAGTTTTGGGACAATGCTTGAACTTGCAAATGCACATACTCACACACCTTTAGATACATACATACATCCATACATATGTACATTTTTATTCACAGATGCTTAAAGAGGGACAAACATGAGTATATAATAGCCACACGTTGGCAATACGCCCGAATTTTCAACTGACCGATAAATACAAATGTATGTACAAGTATGTATGTACTTGTATGTATGAATAACAGTATGCGCAAATAAATGTACATTGTACCTTCAATAAACATTTAAAAGGGACTAACGTTCTTCCTTAGCTTTGACGTCAATTAAAAGACGTGTTTTTAATTGTACTTACGTTTTAATTACAATTACGCAAGAGGACGCAGGTGATTACAAGCATTTTCAAGTAATGTAAAAAACATAACATTACATACATACATGCATACCTAATCAATACATTTACATGCGTCTTCAAGGTAACTTTCTTAACTTTTACGGATGTACATACAATAAATATGTAAATATCATACAACAATTTCATAAAAATTGGAATTCGGTCGCATTTGTTAGGCAAAAGTTCTGAAAACACAGACCAAATACATATTTTGTCTACTTTGTACTTTTGCCCGCTCTATCCTATGTCTATGTATATGTATGAATAGTATATGCAAATATCAAGTTCAGGTTAAAAAAAAAAATTATTTAGATTGTTTGCTCTTTTGTGGCCGAAAATTTTCCACTGTTTTTTCTAAATTTTGCAAATGTTATTCTATTCTGATTTTGTTGGATATTTATCAACTTTTTTTTATTTTTCGGACACATAAACGACATAAATACATACATACTCCTATATTTAAATGACTAAGTACTAGACTAATTTTAGTGGCCTTGCCTAATTGCGATTTTAGTCAGCGAAATTCGTCAAGACGATATTTTTTCTTTTTTCAAAGAGCTTGTTAAGCCTCAAGAACATAAATGAGCACATGATATATAATATGTAAAAATTTAGTATATACATACCATCCATGTATATCATGTATAGTATACTAATATTCATGCAGATTTTTTCGTATTTTTATTTTTTGTTTTATAAAAATATGAATAATTAAGTAGACTATTTCGCCTATTACAAAGTTCGTACAACATTATGTGTAAAAATGTGCAAGAAGCAAGCTGGTATGGTAGCTATATAGCTATAGTTTGCTTTTCATCTTTGTGAATAAAATATCTATGCATTATTTATAGTCATATCCCAAGTATAATGTGAATGATTAAAGAACGTCTTTTTTAACTCAAAAGCCACTTTCAGTATTAACTTTTCAACTCTCTAAATAATTACCAGAATAGTCTACTTAATTTAATATGCCGATCGTGGGTTTTCTTAAAGTGGGTTCCAGCATTCTTTAAAAAGTTTATATGTACTACTTGTAGCTTAATTAATGATGAGCTCGAAATACGACGATTCAGGGAACTAATGGCGAAATGATCGGTCTCACGAAAATCTTCGAGACTGGAGTGACAGCACTGAACCTAAAATCATTTTTCCCAATAAAATAGACGACATTAATTTTCATATTACTACCTTGAGGCGCACAATTCTGCAACTCATTGTAATCGATCCGTGATATTGAGATGAAATCTTATCACGATTCAGACACGTTTTTGTTCAAAAATTCGTATGTCTAACTGAACCTTGAAATGTTTTTTTTTTATTTATCACAAACTTAATGCAATAACGATTATATTTATTTGCCGTATAATTACACTAAATTTTATTGTTTTTTTTTTCTTTTTTCCACAGATAACGGTATAACGGCTAGAACTGTATAGCCCAACCAAAACATGGCCGAAAAATAAGTATGTGGATATACTAAAAATCAAATGGTCAATCTGTAAATGTGTGTACCTACTAAGTACAATACAAAGTCTAATAAATAACTGACGATTATAAAAGAATACTACGACGAGCGAAAGCAAAGCAGAAGCCAGTTCCACCGTCTACTTTTAGTACGGGGCGTTGCTACCAAGAAAGCAGACGTCTACGCGCAGAAAACTCAACAACTTTTAAACTTAATTACTAACTAACTAACTAAAAGTAGCCGAAACGGCCACAAAATGAATAGCCTAGTAAAGGTGTTCAGTAACTTCAGAGAGTTCTACAATGAAATCAATGGTGCTACACTCACCGGTGCCATCGATGTGATCGTGGTTGAGCAGCCGGATGGTGAATTTCAATGTTCACCCTTCCATGTGCGCTTTGGTAAATTGGGTGTGTTACGGAGTCGCGAGAAAGTGGTGCGTAATAGATGACATAACCAGAAAAAAATTCAAAAAAAAACAAAAATGAATTGTTAAAATATGAAAATTCAATGTTAAGCATTTTACTAATTAATTGCGCTTTCAGGTTGACATCGAGATCAATGGCGAGCCCGTCGACATACATATGAAGCTGGGCGACTCCGGTGAGGCATTCTTTGTGGAGGAGTGTCCCGAAGAGGATGTGGAAGCATTGCCAGAGAATATGGCTACCTCGCCAATACCGAGCAGCTATTTCCCAAACAAATATGACAATGATACATTAATGGGCGATACACTCGAGAGCAAAACAATGTAAGTTTTTGGCATATATTTTGTTACATTTTACGCTAGTTTCGAAATTTTGTTGTTGTAGCATGCACAAATGCTTGTTTTTGGGCGATTTTGTAGTGGGTATTTCGAAACTCTACACTGTATTTGCATTCTAATGTTGCATTTGCATATTCTATAAATTCTATTATGCATATGTTTGTGTGTTTGTATATTGACCTTGTTGCATACATTCACATATATTAATTTCATATTATATTTTATTTATTTTCCACTTTTAATTTATTTTTAATTATTTATTTTTCATTACTCTATATAGAATTGCTAGCGATGACATACAACTGCCGCTGCCATTGCCGCGTCGTAATTCCATTGACTTTTCAAAAGAGACCGAAAAGGAAGATCAAGTGCCGAAATTTGAGAATCAAGTCTCAGATTTTAGTCACAGAAGGTAGTGTTGTGTTTTGTTTTCTGTTTTAGTTTATAGAAAATTAATGTACCGTTAACATTTTACATTATGCATTATTTTTGAAACCAACAACAATTATTCAGTGTCATAAAAATTTTTTTATATATGAACTTAGGTGTATGTAGACATGCATACAAACATATACTATAGATGTACTATGTATGCGAATTAAATATCGAATTTTCATAAAACTTAGTTATAAAATATAGATCTATGATATAACAAAAAATTATATTAGTGCTTTGAAAATCCGCAAACAACTTACAAGACGAGTCTTCACTTCATTACAGACACACCGACAATACATTGGAGCGACGCAATCTTAGTGAAAAACTACAAGAGTACACTACGCAAAAGCTGCGACAAGAGTGGGCCGAACATGAGGAGATTTTTCAATTTGAAGCCGTTGAAAGAGAGAAGGTTAGCTGCAAAATGGCAAATTATTTAAAATTCCCTTTACCAAAAAGCTTATTTTCCAAACAGGAATGGATTAACAGCACACAAACTGAAAGCAAAATTCAACAGAAATCCAACACAGACGTCGCACCCACACCAACGATCAGCGTGCAGCCAGCTTCCAAAGATGAGCTTCCCGCGAAACTGAATAACACGAACAATACAAATAATATAAACAGCAACATCAACACACCCACTACTACAACCGAAGCTATCTCCAACAATACTAGTCCAAAGGATGAATCCAAAGGTGGCAAGAAGAAACGCCGCAAGAAGTCACAAATGAAGAAGAAGAATGCACAACGCAAGTCTTCGTCGAGCAGTTCAATTGGCAGCACCACACCCATGGAGGGCGCCAACGGTAATAACACGAATGCCGATGAGGGTGACGGCATTTCCATTTCGAATAACACCAACTCATCGTCGAATGAGGAGATTGCCACAGCAAAATCAAATAACGATCAACAGTCGGCACCGCTCGTCTCCGCCACGGCTGGTGATGAGAGTCCCATTAGCGAAACATGCCAAACATCACCGATTACGCCTAGCACACGTATACCAGATCTTGATATACACTTTTTCAGCGATACCGAGATAACACCATCGGGTGGTGCTAGCAGTTGTGTGGGACGCGGTTCTGGACGTCCCTCCACACCCATACAAAGCGATAGCGAATTGGAGATTTCGTTGCGTGAGAAAGATGTCGATGCTGAATTGATATCGAATACCGCTTCATGGAAATGGGGTCAATTGCCTACACCCGATGCGAGCGAGAAGGTGGACGGCAGCGGTGACCAGTCGGCACAAACGCAAGCACAACGCAACTCAATGCTGAGTGGCATGTTTAATTTTATGAAGAAAACCAATAAAATGCGTAAACAGGCCACCGATGGTGGTGTATACTTGTCCGATTTGGATGCCGAAGGTATGGATCCAGAAATGGCTGCATTATATTTCCCACAGCCGCGGCTGTCGAAGTCGACAAATAATGCCAGCGCTGATGCTGGCACAACTACCAGCACACTGTTACAATCCGGCGATGATGATCGTGAAAGTGGCAATGGCACCAGTTTGCCGCATTCGCCTAGTTCAATGGAGGGTCAGAAGAGCGTGGACTCGGACTACGATGATGGCAAGCCACAAGATGCAAAGTAAGAAGCTAGTAAAATACTCGTAGTACTCTGTTGCAAAAATTATTTATTTAATATTTATATTGTTATTGTTAATATCCGTAGATACCTCGACTTTGTGGCGATGTCATTGTGTGGTGTCGGTGACAAAGGCGAGCCATCAGATGAAGAGTTCGATCAACACATGATTAAATATTCTGATGTAAGTTAATTGTTTGTTGATTATGCAGCTAAATGCAGTGAGATTTTTAAGGCATTTATTTTCGAAATTAATCCCGCTTCTAGTTATGCTTTGTTTAGTTATAACATAACAAATCTTTTTTTAAATACATAATAAACTTTTTGTATGCTAATTATTATTTCATGAGATATTACTTTTTAATACAACTTACATTATGTTGCATATTTTTACTAACGTTGTAAGTATTTCGTTTTAATAGTACAACTTTAATTTTGAGTTTAAAAATTCACATGAATGAAATTTTACTTATATTTTATTAAAATTAAATTAAATTACAAAATTAACCAAGAGCAACACTTTGCTAGTTACAAAAATATATTAGATTGCCTCTTAGTAGTTATTACACAGAAGCCATTGGTTACTGTAAATAAAAATTATATAAACACCAAAAAAAAATAATGATTACTAATTGCATTACACACCAAAATACCCAGGTTTGCGAAAATCCCAGTTTGTTCTCATCGCCAAATCTAGTTGTACGCCTGAATGGCAAATACTACACCTGGGCAGCTGCATGTCCAATTGTCATGACCATAATAACATTCCAGAAACCACTGACTAACGTAAGTTCGCCAGCACGCCTACTAATGGCATACAAATGCAACGCAAAAATTATGCATATTGAAAAAAAAAAAAAAAAACTATTTAAATTACACCAAATACGATACTAACCACATTTAATTAACTTTTCGAAATATAGGATGCCATTGAACAGCTGATGAGCAATGCCAAACCCGATGAAGCGGTGAACAAGAGCGAACCAGATGGCACCACAGCTGGCGCTCAATCAAAACGTTCCTGGTGGAATTGGAGGCGTTCACAAGTTGGCGCCGTACCAAATTCTAATAAGATTGCCAAACCAGATGATAAGGATGATGAGCGAGGTGAGTAAATAAATAAAGAGTGCTTAAAATAGGATTTTTTTTATTTGTGAGTCAAATTTATATAATATTTTACTTGCTGAGCTTGAAAAATTTTTGGAAATAGTAACAAAAAAGTTTTATTTTCAAATAAAGGTATTAGTATCTATAAACACTAGAACAAGACGAAAAGATCGTTAACTTTCTGCGTTTTTTGTGTTTTGGTAGAATAAATTAATTTTTGTTAATTTTTGAATTTAGTTTCAAATTATATTCAACTAAAATTTGATTTAAAAAAATTAAATTTTCACGGTAAGAAAGATTTCTTTTTCTAATAGTATGTCTATTTTTTTTTTTTTGGGTTATGCTATGCGAAGAAAGTATTATACAAGCTCGTTTTTCGTCAAATTGAAAATAATTGTTGTTATTAGCGTTTCCTTTTTCTTTTTTTTTTTTTTTTTGTTTATAAAATTGTTGCCGAAAAACGAAAATTTCCATTATATATGTACTACATCTCCAGTTTTCCAATATCATTATCATACAGATGCCGACCAAGCTGCCGTGGCCACACAAACAACACGTCCCAACTCCCCAGATATTAGTGAGAATACACTAAGCAAAACCGACTCGACGCTCAATGCTGAAAACACATCAGCGCAAGTTGAAAATCTCGAGGACTTATCGCAAGCCTCCTCGAAAGGTGAAGCAACCAGTAGTAACGGTAACAAAAATGAACGTTACAAGAAGAGCTTGCGCCTTAGTTCGGAAGCAATTGTAAGTAAAAAAAAAATTATATATTTTTTATCTGAAGTAACACTTATTATTTCATTACTTTTCTTATTGTAGAAACAATTGAACTTGAAGGATGGCATGAACGAAATTGAGTTCAGCGTCACCACCGCCTATCAGGGTACCACACGCTGCAAATGCTATCTCTTCCGTTGGAAGCACAACGACAAGGTTGTCATTTCCGATATCGATGGCACGATCACCAAATCGGATGTGCTCGGTCACATTTTGCCAATGGTCGGCAAAGATTGGGCCCAATTGGGTGTGGCACAATTGTTTTCGAAAATCGAACAAAATGGCTATAAGTTATTGTATTTATCCGCACGTGCCATAGGGCAATCACGTGCCACACGTGAATACTTACGTTCCATACGTCAGGGCGATGTTAAGTTACCCGATGGGCCATTGTTGCTCAATCCTACATCACTTATTTCGGCATTCCATCGTGAGGTGATCGAACGCAAGCCGGAACAATTTAAAATCGCTTGCCTCTCCGACATACGCGAGCTCTTCCCCGACAAGGATCCCTTCTATGCCGGCTATGGCAATCGCATCAATGTATGTTCCTGCAATTTGATGCATTTTCGTGTGGGTGTTTCGTATTTATTAATTTTTGTGCTTTATCTCATTATTTTAGGATGTATGGGCCTATCGCGCTGTTGGTATACCAATTATGCGCATTTTCACCATTAACACTAAGGGCGAATTGAAGCATGAGCTAACACAAACATTCCAGTCATCGTAAGTACCCAAAAAATATCCCGTTATTTTTAAATATATATTTATATATATAGTCACATAAATCAACCAAATCGATTTGTAGTAGTGAACAATTAACAATTAAAAACTGTATACAATCGTTTTAAATTGGTGGTGTAAAGCTAAATGTGGTGAATGTCACTAAGTGGTGAATATTGCATACGTATATGTACATATATACTTGTACCTGCCATGGAATGCGCTTGAGTCTCATAAGCACACAAATAACCACATATAAGTATATATACACAAAATATATCCTCATGGTGGGTGTCGGAAATTAGTTTGATTTTGTTGTATGCCAAGTTTCAACATGCTTTAATGAGTCGAGTTTAAGAAGTTTGAAAATCGGTGCGGTGACTTTATGACGTTGGAACATATTATTATAATAGTATATAGCCTTTAGTTGGGAGTAATTAGGCTTCAAAGAAATATGAAGCATTGAACCGATATCCAGGTCAGTATGACAGGAGCGGTATATTCTTAATGAATCTACAAACCCAGCAGCATTCAATAAAACTACGTAAAGAACAAATTTTGCTGCTCCAACAAAAAACTGTCACAACAAGACAGTTAAAATGTCCATTTTAGGCAAATAAAGCTTAAAGAAAATGTTTGAAGATAATTTTAAACAGTTTGGAAGAGAATAACATCTATATAGTATGAGCTTGCATTCATTATAGATAAAATTTTGTATTTATAAGTACGGTTTATGACATTAGTAGAACTATATCGCGTCATATGATATACATATATTATATATAGATATGAATAGAAATTTATTATAATTCGATACTTTTATTTTCGAGGCACTCATAAAAAATAACACTCTAAAATATGTACAATAATTGTTAAGTGTATGCTATATGATCATAAATAAAACATATTCATGTTAATAACAAACCATTATGTAAAGTGTAAAATTTCGAAATCTTTATCAAACTCAAAATCATTGCAATTCATGTACCTATAACATAACTGTAAAAAAGAGAAAAAAGAACGCATAACAGTACAATATTAAAAGCTATCACTCACACTACGGCAAAAGTGTCCACATACGCCCATGCACTTGTATGAACTAAAAAAATAGCATTATGTATTTAAGATTTGTGCATTCATTTGTATAAGTAAAACAAACGACCGATAAAAAAACTTATAACCAATTCGAAAAAGGCACAATTTGCTAAAGTCTATATTTTCCAAACGCTTTGCAAACATTTTTATAGCGGTTACATCAATCAGTCGCTCGAAGTCGATGAGTACTTCCCGCTGTTAGATGTCAACATGTATGAGTATCGCACCGACACCTTTGACGATGACGAGGAGGAGGACGAATTGAAATTCAGTGAATCGGATGACGGCATTGAACTCGATGCCGATGACGTGTATCTCAATGATGATGACAATGAAAAAGCTGGTATTACAGTTGATGCCAAAGAACGTGGTATGCTGATGATGAGACTAGATAATGGCAGAATAACGCAAACGAAAAGTAAATTTGCGCAGGCGCGCAACAATATAGTCACAGGCGTCTCTGCTGTTGGAGCACGTCACTAAGCTGGGTAACTGCATTATTATCGGTGACTTCTGTATGGACCGTTGAGTCTGCCAACAACATGCGTGCAACTAATTGGGGGGATTATAAAATATATTTATTGGTGTAGAAAAAAATATATATTTCACCAACATAAATAGCGTGAAGACGTTAAAGCTGAGCAATCCGTGCTCAAATTGATTTTAATGTGATAATTGTGATCTAGTTTTGCACATACTATGTATGTATGTAGTATGTAAGTGATTCTGCTCACAGTTTTTGATTGCAGAGCTTTTGTGCCTCACAAAACTTTCACAATGCGAACAGTTTTCGTAAGAACTTAACACATAAGGCTAGTCTATAGTATGTTAAGCGTATTTAAAACATTGCATTTTGGCAATAAGCAAAACAAATATAGACTATAGATTGTCTAGTTTTTATAATAAATAATAAAAAAAGCTTTGAAAGTTATCTAAGCAGGTTAAATGAACAATATTTACACATATTTATAAGCGTTACAGTATGTACCTTAAATACAAAAGTACAGAATAATAAATATTGCTTAATTAATTTGTAATTGTAATTATGAAAATTTGCTAATTAATTAAGCAAACTGTTTTATATAAATTTATATATGCTGATATCATAAATATTTTTAATCCACAAGCTGGACTGGGATTATTATTTATTTTTTATTATTATTTTTTTTTTTTTTTTGTTTGTTGGTAATATGCACCACTGTTACTGTTATTCATTTGTTTACGCACTTTTATTAATATACTTGAATAGCATTAAGCGAAGCAGTTAGTATTTATGCATTTTTTATATACATACATATAAATATTTACAAATGTGGTACATACATATACATACTCACTTTTATGCATACAAGTGTTAAATATAAATGCTTAAAAAATATGTTTATTGAATAAAATTCGAAAGTAAACATTTGTTTGGCTTGTTTTCTTTGTTTATGTTATTAATAAATGGTAGCGGTAATATTGTATCACCGTTGTTAAAACGAATAATATTGAAAATAGTAAAATAAAACATATATATTTTTTATTATAAGAATTATTATTTAAAAATGTTCATTTCCCCCACTTTTATACATGAAAAATTATTGAAATAATGCTTTTGTGTATTTTTGAAAAGCAAATGAGTTTAGTATTTTTTTGGTCAACGATATTTTTTATTAAAGACACTACTCTACTCCAATTTCTTTTCAAAAAAGTATCGAAGGTAAACATAACCTCAAAGTATGTATACCATACAAATCATTTAGCTCAGTAAAACCTTTCCAAAACTGTTTATATTTTTTCAATGAAGAAATTTTTAGTAGCGAATAAGCTACTTTGGTTAAGGACGCTTTCAAAATTATTTTCGATATGATTTTGGAAACTCATACAAATTTACCTTAAGTCTTTATTTTAACCACTTTTAGTAAAAAGAATATCTACTTAAAGAATAATATTATATATATCTTTCTTTATGCTATTGATTATACTATAAAAAATATAAAAAAAGTCTGCTGCAAATTTAGTTAAGCATACTTTTAAGCGTTTCATACAAAAATGGTTCAATTTTTCTGAGTTTCCTCAAGTAACATACAATTTATTTCAGCTAAATTAAAGATAAATCAGCATAGGTATAGCAATCTTTCCGGCGTATACACAAATTTAGTTATTTAAAATTGACTTGAACTGCTACAAAACAGATAAGATATCATCAATGATTTATGGCTATTTATAAGATATCATCTATGGCACAGCATACTTTACGGCGCATACACAAGTTTAGCAATGTTTCGACTGCTCTGAAGCATATTTTCAGGAATACTTTAGCAAACACCATTGCTACTGAGGCATATTTCGAGTAATTTTGTGACTATTCTAAAAAAGCAGTACATACTATAATCTAAATTATGCAAAAATCTGTTGAATATTTTCCAGTGTTAAGTACTGGCTTAATAATTTCTTTCTTTGCTGTTATATTTTTTTCTACATTTAAATAAATATTGACAGGCTTCTAAAACTTTTATTTCTCTTACTTTTAAAGATACTGCAGCATGACATACATTGTGGATCAACTATTTCCACCCATACGCGACGATGAGGGCGCTGTAGAATACTCCAATTTCAATTATTGGCGCGATCCTATACCGGAATTGGATTTAGTTTTGGATAATAGTAGCACCGAAACCAACAACACCAGCCACAATGTTGAAGTAAATGCATTGCTGCAAAAGGGCTTAGCAACCATTCCAGAAAATTAATAACCAACAACAAAATAAAACTAATATATAAATAAAAATAAATGATAACTGTAAACCATACCAAAAACACGAATGTAGTGTATAACACAGTATAAGTTTTGAATATAAGTACTATTTAGTTGCGCTTACGCTTTGCAATTTTTTAATGGTATATGCTTACGTACTTAGCAACTAGTTTTCCTTGATTTAATTTGCAATAATATTACACGTGTGAAATAACAACTTTAAAATGGATTATGCACACAAAAAGCTTATACAAAATAATTGTTTTTGATAGAATTTCTTTTTTCTTTGAGTTTTCAAAATATCTTCGAAGTGTTAACAAGCATTCTAAATACTATTATTACAGGATTTTCGAAAAGTCTCTTGCAAATTTTCAACTTTTTGAGCAAAATTCTAAAAAAAAATATATTTTATGAATTTTTCGCCCATTTTTTATAATGTTTCGTATGGCTGGTTACATTGAAGATTTCAATATTCTCGCAAATTAAACTCAAAAACCAATAAACAGAAAATTGTTAGTAAGAAATGAATGAGACTACAACAACAATGTGTGAGACTTTTACTAAAAAGTAATGATCTCAGTTTTAGATATTATAAAAATGTTTTCTAAGCTGACCAATCGATAATAGATAACGCTACTTACCCTCCGTAGTTACTCAAATTATTAAAAAAAAAAATATTGATAATTGCCAAGAAATCGATTTGTCTGTGACGAAATACGAAAATGTTCTGCAAATTTAAAAGAAAAATAAACAAAACTGTTAAAATAGCATTATTGGCTCAAAAATTAATTAAAGGAGTTTTTAGGTATCGAAACGCATCAGTTTGATTCAGAAAGTTTTTGTCCACTTAAAATATTGGTTTACTTAATTAAACAAAAAAAATTTAAAAACATATTCATTTGTATTGACAGCTACTTATAGTTTTTGGAAAAGTTTCAAGTTTAATAATATGGCAAAAACTAAGTGAAATTAAAAATAATCCTTTTGCTTCTATATGAAATGTATAATGAAAACCAGAAACAAGTTTAGTATTTTGGTATAGAAAACAATTATTTCAATAATTATTAATTTATATTATTTAGAGTACACATCATTGTGAATTGATTTTATATTCCTACTACTTTTAAAGCATTAATTAGAACTGAAATAAATGTGTTTTATAAAGTTTATGCTTCTTCTATGTTCTAGTTACAAATAACTTATACATAAAACTACTAAGACTATTACAAAAACAAAATATTTCAAAATACTATCATCAATACATGCACCTATACATTCTTAAACAATGGTGTATGCAATAAAAAAATATTTTTTTGTAAAATACTTTAAATAAAATACAAAAGTGGGGTTCTTACTATTTCTACCACTAACTATTACAATTTACATATGTATATTCTCAAAATGTACATATGTATGAATGTACATGACTATGACATGTATGTAGTTGCCAATCGGTGCAGGTTTCTATCTCTAATATTCATATGTTTATTCAAATAATTATAATTCTTATGTTATTATAATTGTGATAAATTTTAAGGTCTCCATTCTATAGCTGTAAGAAATATTCATTAGAAATTGAAAAGCCACAAAAATTATTTTTGTTTCGTAGAATTATAATATTTAATGTTGCTTTGGGTCTTTTAAATTTTTATTAGTTTTATTAGTAATAAATTTTTGTTAATGTGATATATTTGAAAAAAAGCAACTATTGTAATAAAAAACATTCATCTACTGCATCAGTTGTATTACAAATGTATATGTTCTCGTTTTAAACTATACTTCATATTTTATTTATCATAAAAAATTTACTTTAAGTTTAAATTTTTTTGAATAATATTTCAATGCATTTATTCCATTTATTATGCCAATTTGCGTCTAAAAATTATAATTTCAAATTGTATGCGTTGCACAATATTAATTTTAGTTTATTTGAAATACATATAAACATACTTAAATGCATGTATATGTACACTAAGTCCCTAGCAACTTCCGGCTTTGTTTTTCCGGCTAATAAAGTATGTGGGCCTAAAAAACAATATGAATCGCCTAGACGACAACTCGGGCATTCATAATCATAATCATATACCCGCCTACCACAAACAGGAACGTGGCAATTGGCAAAAAACTTTCAATTTTACAAGTTACCCTTTAGCGCCTAAACAGTGTGTCTTAAAAGAATTAAACTATCTGATTGTGGTAGATGCATATGTGCACTTTACATAGAGATGTTAACATCTTAAATGGGTTGAACGCAAGAGTGACAATCGAAAACCCAAAAAACTCAAAATACCTAGCAACTTCCGGTTTTGTTTTTCCGGCTAATAAAGTATGTGGGCCTAAAAAACAATATGAATCGCCTAGACGGCAACTCGGGCATTCATAAACAACATCATATACCCGCCTACCACAAACAGGAACGTGGCAATTGGCAAAAAACGTTCAATCTTACAAGTTACCCTTTAGCGCCTAAACAGTGTGACTTAGAAGAATTAAACTATCTGATTGCGGTAGACGTCCCTTATTTCCCCAAGTTGATTTTTTCCTGCAAACGCCCCCCAAGTGTCAGTTTTTGTCCTAAAAACAAGAATCCAACGTAAACTAACTTTTTATATTAAATTTAAATCATGCCTAAATCATTTTACTTTTTCCATAATATTTCATAAGGTATTTTTCAATCACACACACAACACGCCACAACTTTGAAAAAGTGATATTCTATTACAAAATTTTCCGCTCTACAAAAAAGATTTCAATGAGTTTTTTCATAAGAATATTACTTTTAAAGTTATATGCGGTTAAAGTTATGCATCAAATGTAGTGTATTCATACAGTACACCATGTCGTATAAGCAACACTTGTGTGAATGCTCAGGCTATTTGATACACACATAACTTCAACTGCCTCTAACTTTTAAATGAACGTTTTTATGGAAAAATCACTAAGATCTTTTTGTAGTGCGAAGAAATATGTTGTATTGGAATATCACTTCTGCAAAATTTAAGATTTACTTGCTTAACGCAAAATATCCAAAACTCTCTATGTTATACATTTGTACATACATAGGTATATTCGGAAAAAGAAATATAATTTAGGTACGTTTTAAATTGAAAATAAGTAGCTTGTTTGTGTTGGATCCTTGTTTTTAGAGCAAACACTGAAACTTCAGGGGGCGTATGCAAAAACACAATCAACTTGTGAAATAACGAACACTATGAAAAGTATATACATAGAAGTTGTACATAGGGCATTTTACGAATAATAATATTCGGTTTGCACTATCCGGATAGTCGTAATTTGTCGACTATTTGATTAACCGTTCATTTTCGACTGTTCGGTTAACCGTTCGTTGTCGACTATACGAATAGTAAGCGTTCATTCAAAAACACAACAAAAAAAAAACAAAAAGGCAAAAATCAAAGGCTGCTTGGATTTCAAACAATCTTCATTTATTAAAATACTCGCAGCAGAGGGACTATTCGAATAGTCGCATTCGTATAGTACTTTTTGGTTAATGTTGATATGAACAGTTACAAACCGTATTTTCGAGACCGGAAAAAAATTCATTACATCGTAGAATTGAATCAATAATATTGTGCAACAGATAAGCGTGTACTTATTATGTGTGATAATGCTTTAGCACGTAATTGGCTTACTGTATTTTCTAGAGAAGAATTTAATTTTACCACTTTGCTTAAGCTTTCATTATCGCTTCATAAGTAATCGTATATTTAATCGAACCATTTTATAGCACAAAAAACAATTACATACATAAAAATATACAATATAACAATACCAAACATTATAAAATATTTTAAATATTCAAAATGAAAAAGAACAGAATTTATCTTCAATTAAATAATTACATATAAGTTACAATAAAAGAACTCATACAAAATATGTCAAAAATTGATGGAAACAATGAATAAATAAAATTCAGATACAGCTTGCGTTCATTTATATTTGTACAATTTGGCGATTTCACATACGTATAAATAGGTATATACGAAATACATCTGAGCAGCATTAATTAATCCAGAAATTAATATCAGGTGAAAATGTAAATGATACACGACGTAACATCCTTACTCAAATTAGCCAACAATTAACGGATAATAATTTAAGTAATAACAGACACCACCAGAAAATTCCTGTTCATACAATTAAAGCCTAGCAGCACAGATTCAGTTTGTACACTAGACATTGAGTAGTCACAAGACTTATGGCGCAGCATCTTGTTGTCAAATGAATCTAAAACACGAAAAAACGTTAACTTCGGTTGCACCGAAGCTATATTACCCTTCACAAATACAAAGATTACAAGAACTTGATTACGATACCATGCAAGCACTTTATTCAGTTCGTTCAGTTAATATGGCAGCTATATGCTATAGTGATCTGATCTGAACAATTTCTTCGGAGCAGCTATATGCTATAGCGATATCGGCCGTTCCGACAAATGAGCAGCTTCTTAGCGGGGAAAGGACAGGTGCAAAATTTCAGATCGATAGCTTAAAAACTGAGGGACTATTTCGTATGTGTACTAGGGTGGAGCGAAAAAAAATTTTTTTTTTTGCTTAGCCTGAGGGTCAAATTTGTAGATTATAAAAAAGTTATGGAAAAACAAAATTTTTTAACATCTAAAGGCAGCCCCCTCACTTTTAAAGTAAAGTTTCGAGTTAAAATTTATATTTCGTAAAAAATTTTGATAAGTGTTCTAGAAGCTCTTGAGAGTCCTCTTTCAGACTAAGTAAAAGTTATCAACTTAAACAATTTTTTTGTGGTCATTATTGGAGTTTAAAAAAAAAGTCTTAAACGACAACATGCTTTCCTTAAGCGTTAAAATAAATTTTGAGTAAAAACCAGTCAAATTCGGTAATTTTTATAAAAATATGAAGAGCTTAAACCAAACTAATTTTTTTTTCTGTTTAAAAAAAATTTAACTCGAAATTTACTTTAAAAGTGAGTGACCACCTCTAGATAACAAAAAATTTTCTTTCTACAAATTTTACCCTCAGGCTAAGCAAAAAAAAATTGTTTCGCTCCACCCTAATGTGTACACACAGACAAACGGACGGGCGGATAACCAGACGGACATGGCTAAATCAACTCAGCTCATTATGCTGATCATTTATTTATACATTTTATAGGGTCTTCGACGTTTCCTTCTGGATATTACAAACTTCATGGCAAACTTAATATACCCTGTTCAGGGTATAAATTTTCTGTTGAAAGAGGTTCTCGTCAGTGCATGAAAACACCGCCCAAAACCGAATTTAAGCCAAAACATTGCATAAATACTGTTAAACATGGATTTGTGGAATCCTTGCCAACGCGCAGTGCTGCAGTTTTATTCAACACAGATGGTCCCACAAAATATTTTACTCTAATTAATTTTAATTTACTTGATAGATTTTGGCCTAAAACTCTTATATTTAAAAAATAAATCGTTTGAAAAAATTTGTTAATCTTTAAGTTTTGAATATTTTTTTAGGACACTCCTATTATTTTGAGTAAGCCAATTTTATTATAAATTCAATATTATTTTTTTATGAATATGCATATATAACATGAATTTGCTGTTTTTTGTGTATATCTTTTTCATTACTATTTATATACGATAAAAAATCTTTTGAAACAATTAAGTCACATTTACAATGTTTTTTTTTCTACATTATCTATGAAGCCAACTTGCACTATTATTATTTTGATAACAGCTGTATGTATACATATAAATGATCATCGTGAAGAGCTAAGTCGACTTTTCCATGTCCATCTATCTGTCTGTTTTTGAGATATCGTCCTTTATTCCCCAAGAAGCTGCTCATTTGTCGAAATCGTCGATATCGGATCTTTATAGCATAGCATAGCTGTCATACAAACTTGCCGATCAAAATCAAGTAAATCAAGTTATTGTATTAAAAACTTTTTATTCGACAAGATATCTTCACGAAATTAAATTAAGTAAACTCTGGCTGTCACCTAATTCTCTACTATATGTCTGATCTTATTTTTTGCTGATTTTTTTATAAAATAAAGTAAACAAAACCAATGCAATTTAATTCCAACACCAACAATATTAACACAATATTGGTGTACCAATTTCCTAGCAATACATAATCTGACCGACCAACAATAACTATTTAGTATGGTTGGAAACAGATGGAAAAGTACCGCTGCAGCACAAATGTGCGTTAATCAATTTAATTGAAACAGTTTATCTCAAGAAATTTTGTGCACATATGCATACAAACTTACATACATACATATATACCTATATACACCTAACATAAAATATACAGTAGCTACAATAAATATGGAATCACTTAACGTAAATTTAATTACCAAAAGCTTACGTGTAACTTTTTGGGCTTTTATGAACATAAAATGTTAAAATAGCGCTAAAGTAATGAGAAAATCTTATTAAATAACATATGAAAAATATAAAAATAGTAAACCAGTCGATCGTCTGTGGATTTGAAAGGATTTACTACTACTACTACGATTATATCTGTAACAAATTTCGTCCTTACCGCATAGCCTATCTAAACCGATGTGAACAGAGATTGTACGGGAACATTTTGCGCGCATTTCATTGAGCTTTCTGTAATGAGAATATAGATTTCAGTATACTTCCCAACAACATACTCAATTTGAACAATACACGGCCAGACCACCAGTCGTCAAACCCATCACACGCTCTTCGCTTTGCTGATATTGAAGCAAGCTCGCCCCCGTCGTCTAGAAGATGTCACTTTCAAACCGGCCCAAAATTTCGAATTACGGAATAATATTAAGACTATTCCTTCCCATCGTACCGTTCATCGACATGTGTCTGGAGAAACTTAGTCGGTAAAAAGGTTGTTTTTTGCCATTCTGATTGATCTTGGAATAATAGAAGCGCATCCAGTTCAGCCACACGATGCGCTCTATATTTTGTTAACATTTTGGAAGTGAAGAAACTTTAATGTTGAGGTGATTAGTCGAAGAGACCGAAATTCATATCGTCGTCTTCATCTGACTCCGACTCTTCCTTTTTGGCTACTTCCTTCTTTTCGGCAGCAGCAAGCGGCAATTAAGGCAATAATCTCACTTCGCATTACAACAGATAATGTCCTCAGAAGCAATGAGGCAGTAGATGTAGTGGCTGCCGGAAAGCGGCTGCATATATGCTGGGCTTCAGACCACAAAGGAATTCCGGGAAACGAAACAACCGAACAACAAGAGTGCCGTCCATTTGGCTACCAAACAAGTACGGGAAATACGAAAGTCACTAAAAACGATATACAATGAAATTTACGAAATGGCTGACAGACAGATCAGGATGAGAAAGAATGTCTTAAGAACATGCAGTGTCCTATTTTCAGAGGGGTAGATCGTTCCTAATAGACCTAAACCGAAACCGAAACCGACCAGGATGCTGCTACAGCAAATACAATATGAAAGAAGAACCCAACAGCAATTTTTTTCGACGAACCAAACCGGTCTTCTGTCAATTTTAATCCAAAACCGAACTGAGATCGAACTAATCCGGGTGCTGGTGGTTTAAAGTTTAATCGCTTAAAGTATTATTCACATATACATACATTGATATGTACATATACAAGTACTTGTATGTATTTATATAAATCAAAGCCTTGTTACTTGAATTTAACATAGTCCTGTTATAATATTATAGTAATACATACTATCTCGAAAACTGCAAAAAATAAGTAATTTCATTTTCTATTTATGCAATCAGTGCAAGGTCTCAGCTTGAAAACAATTATGTATAGCCGCTCTTCCCCCACATCGCGTGATATTAAAGCATATATGTATGTATATACATGCATATGTATTTTTGAAAGCCTTTAATTATTTAAGTAGATAAAAAAAAAAGTATTTTGATTACCTACATATGTATGTACATATATATATGTATGTATAGTAAGTATGTGATAAACAAAATGTCACACGAATTGCCAGAAGACGCTCAAGTCACTTGGGGCATTGTCTGCTCTTTTATTTGACCGGCTCTGACACAAGAATCGTGCTAATTTATACAACGGTGTATGGGCTATGTACTTGGTTGTATATACAATACGAGTACACAATTTGAGCGAATTGAGGAGTGGAAACTTTTCGTCATAAACATTTTAGTACAATTACCTAGCTCCAGAAAGTTCTTCCTATTTATTAATGCAATTTTATATTGTATACTAAACAGTCAGTAGGAAATTCGAAGGCATACGCGAAATTGGCAAAAGTGCCATATTTCTATGTGCTATCGTATGTAGGTAGATAGGATGGATGTCCGACCACGCCATTCCCTCGACAGTTGGATCGAAGTAACCGCAACGGACCCGGATTTTAATCCGGCCAAGGACTATCAACTCGGCACCATTCCTCGAAATTACTTCAGAAACATTTACTAACGCTACTACTACTACTACTACTATTGAAGCAGTCCTGGAAAGATAAATTTCGATCCAATGATGTATATATACTGTATATATAAGATAGTAGCACGAATTGTTAGAAAAAAAATTTCGAATATCAGTGTTTGTTTTAAGGAGTTAGGGGTAGTCAGAATTTTCGAAAAAAAAATCAATTTTTTTTGCATTTTCGTTAAGTGTAATATCTTGAAAATATTCTCTGAAATTTTCAAGTTGATCCGATAATTACTTTTTGAGTTATTCGACAAATAACAAAGCACGCTCGGGTCCTTGAAAGCGCTCGGGAGCAGTTAGGTGAAACTTTAAATTCGTTTTTCTCAAAACTATGTTTTTTCAACTGGTGACAACTGTAACTCGAAAACCGCTATGTAGATTTTAACGAAATTTAAACAGGTTTTATTTTCGATTTTTTAAGACCAATTAACTGTTGATTTTTTCCCAAAAATCTAGAAAAAAATTTCCTGAGGCTATCATTTTGTAAATTTTTGAAAAAACAAAAAAAACTGCGATCAGGCGCAGGATTATCAATTTATAAAACAATTTTTTTTATCCGATTGATTTTAGATGGATCTGCAAGGACTTATGATTGTCACCGCAAAGAACGTGCCTCTGACTACCCCGAACCCCTTAAGATGATATTGTGGATCAATATGTAGTATTAAAGTTTTTCTTTTGCTAAGTACAATTGGTCTACCTAGATTCTATTTGGTATAGTATATTCGATATATGGAGGCGAACAGAAAAAAACCCGTGATTGTGGTTACGATACTGTTAAGCTAACAAAATTCCATCAAGCTATATCATGTATTGAACGCAATGTACGATATAAAGTCTGCCGGATCATGATATCTATGTATATTCATTGTACAAGGGCCAGATTCAAACGATTTTCGAGGGAGAGTTGAAAAATATACGAACTACTATAGTAAAGTTATGCTATCGTGAAATTAGATTCGTCAGTTAAAGGGGGGGGGGGAACCAATTTAGGAGGCCGAAATTCGATTGTTTTTTGTGACTTTTTTTTAACTGAGAAAGAATACTTAGAATACGTTTAAACTTGCAGGTTAGTTTATTTCTATTTTGAACTACACTTTTAAATTTATCAATGCCATTTCCGCCGGAAGTGGTGGATTTAGAGGGTGGTCTTCATTGACGATCGCCATCTGAGTTGACTGCTGGCGGGACACCTGGAGGACACAGGTTTGATCTGAAATCATTAATTTTGTTTACTTTAGTTGTTAGTAAGCATATTTTCTAAGAATATGAACCAAGCTCTGGCCAAAAGAGTTGAAAATTCAATGTTTTGGAGGTGTTTGAACAAAATGTTATGTTTTTATATAATTTTTTTCACCTTTCTTACATAAAAAAATATAATTTACTTAATATCAATACAGAATTTAGTTCATATTTTTCGGACTTAAATAAAGGATATTCACACAAATTTTCAGAACGATTCGTCAATAACTTTTTGAGCTAGGATTCCAAGTTGAAAAAAAGTGCGCTTCGGCACTGAATCGACCGTTTACCTTAGTGCTCATAACATCGTAACTAATCGGAATTTCGTTTTCGTATTCTTGAATAGTTGCACTAACAATTTATGCAATGAATAAAATCGATTTTTTTGTATCATCTAAACTGGCTGCCCCCCTTAACCATAAATCATCAGGGTAGCTTCCAAAAGTGTGCCTGATACTCGAATCAGCGAACAATGCCTATAGAACTCTAATAAGGACAAATAATTTTCAAAATGATAAACTATTTGATCTTTTTATTTGTGTTGTGTGGCTTGAGGGTTTTTATCGGATTTTTTTCATATCGAAACTGAGCTCTGAAGATTTACATGACCTGTGTTGCGGTAACAACAGATAAAATTAGTTTTGATTGTCCAAATCAATTCGTGGTTCTGTTTCCAATAAAAAGCTCAAAATCAAAGCTCTGATTTTATTGGTTTTGTTAGGAATAACAACGATTTGCAGTATACCAGATTTGTATATAATAAAAATGGACTTACTTCGATTTACAATACTTTATTGAAATTTTTCGAAAACACACGGAGCAAAAGAATAAAATATCGTTATTGTTATGCGTGGCTCGAAACCAGTTTAAGTAACTATTAGCTAATTAGTAAAATGGCATTAAATTGTAAAAGAAAATGAGATAATTTACGTGAGAAAGCATAACAATTTTTACCCCAATGACTATTATTACCCCGTAAGTATTTGGGGCTTCTCGCAGTCAACAACCAATTATATATTCATGTGCATAAATCTAGACTAAGTAGTTTGTAATTAGCGATTTGCTAGGCTTTGCAAACATACATACATATATGTATTAGTTTGTGTGTGTGAACAAATAAATGTGTTTATGCGCTTTGCAAATTAAGTCCCATTACGGAGTGAAAATTTTCCAAAATTCGAATATGTGACCCAATCGTCATAATCACGATTGAACGAGATCAACGACTGTCTATCGCCCTGTCTGCCTGCCTGTTGGATACCATACATAAATATATACAAATGTATGTAGGCACTTTAGAGTCCACTAGAATATCAGCTTATTAAATCCAGTACAGTCGAGCTTTATGTGTGGAGCACGATTAAGACGAGTTTATTCTGTACAGTGTGCAGCTAATTGTGTGTGCGGTCCATACTAGTAACTATGCGCATTCTATGTACATAAGTCCAACATGATAATAATATACAAATTGCACTTGAATACCCGCTCCTTCAGCGCAGCCATACCACTTAGTCACCAGATGAACAAACCCACAAATGACCACCTAGGTATATGCATATGTATGTATGTTATATGTATGTACATATATATGTATTTAATAGCACACATACTTAACACATACAAGTACAATTTGCGTGTACATGCAATGCAGAGCACACATGATGGAATTGGCTCCGACATCACCCACTCAGTTGACATGGACGCACTTGTTTTTATCGGACAAACTATATAAGGCAAAGTTTTATTTGAAAATTTTATCAGTCAATTTTTGTATTTCTCAGCATTTACAATTGCGATTAGCAGCCAACTGAGACATCCTTAGAGAGAACGAGCCTTTTCAACTGGAATCAAGTATTATTTTAATAAACACAATGAAATACATCATCGCTGTTTTACTCGCCGCATTGGTGGCAATGGTAAGTATTGGCTTTGGGAAAAAATAATGTTAAAAAAAATTTTTTTTTTTTTGGAAATTTTTTTCCAAATTAATATACATTACATTTATAGGCCGCTGCCGAGGAGTACAAGATACGCAATCAGGATGATTTATTGAAGGCGCGCAAAGAATGCATGGAAGCGAAGAAGGTGCCCACCGAACACATTGAGAAATTCAAGAAATTCGAATTTCCCGATGATGAGGTGACGCGCTGCTACATCGAGTGCATCTTCAACAAATTCCAACTATTCAGCCCCACCGAAGGTTTCAAGACACAAAATCTGATTGCACAACTCGGCCAGAATAAGGAGAATAAGGACGCTGTGAAGGCTGATATTGAGAAGTGTGCCGATAAGAATGAACAGAAATCGGATTCATGCACATGGGCATACCGTGGATTCAAGTGTTTCATCAGTAAGAATTTACCGCTGGTGCAGGAAAGCCTCAAGAAGAATTAAATGCATTCACAGATGACGAGAAGTGAGCGTGTAGCCGGTGCCGAAAATGACATAAACCACCAACACAAACACCACCACCTATAGCAACAGCACCATCAACAATAACATAAACAACAACTGTAATAAGCTTTTACATAATATTTAAAAAAAAAAACTAGTGCAAGGCAAACCACAGTAGTGAGCAAACAACTGCAACTGCATCAGAACCTTAGTAAAGCCAGGTAAATCACAAGAGCGTAGGCGCACCGGCGGTAAACAACTGAAATAAAGTAAACATTCAAGCTCATGTATGTAATAAATAATAAAGATAGAATATACATTTGCAATAGTACGGTTGAATCATCTTGAAACGTCCTGTTATTTTCGCATTTAACTACTACAATTTTTTTTTTGTTCACACATCTATGTATTATGTTTCATTCGTTCGATGTTAATTAACTTTCACGAATAAAAAGGAAATTAATTACAATGTGCAAAACAATATTTTATTACTATTATTATTAGTCCGTAGAATCGGCGAGTTAATGAGGTTAGTTGATGAGTTCCCATGACAATCGGGTTTACGTTGACATTCATATAAAAATCACAAAGGCTACAAGATCGGCTGATATAAGTATACAAAAGGAAAATTTAGGAGTTGTCTCAATCTTAATGTAAAAATATAACACAAATTTTAGGAATCCAAAACTTTTACCCCTTATTCAAAGAATTTCAATCTTCTCTCGTATAATTGTTTCTGAAAAAATTGTTAATTTCAATATTGTTGAATCACTACGTCAACATATTATTGATTACCTTTTAGGTACCATGCCTTCATTTGTGTGCCTTTGAAATTTCCTAGAATAAAACTCGATGCCATTCCACATATTGTTACTTATTTCTTATTTGAACAGATTAACTCTGATTTGAGCTGAGCTTCTCGTTGTAATGCGGTAAAAAATTATTTAATAATTTAATGCATTTTGGATCGGTGAGGAAATTAAGATTGTGATCCTTGGTACACACTTAACTGTATATCAATTAGAGTTGCTTTATATCCTATTTAGTCGTGCTGACATTGAGTCCAACTCGGCCTCTGTGGAATTTTCGTGTTGCGTTTATGCCAAAAGACTCCATGCAATCAACCCCGTCTCGGTTAGGATTAACACTTACAATTTATTGGATCATCCTAAGAGCTGCCCTGGCGAATACTCAAAGTGCTTCGATCACAGGATGGCTCCCCAGGATATCACCTAAACATATGTAGTTTCGCTGCTTTGTGCTGAATACCATTTGGTATTACCCTTCTCTGACTTTATTTCCGCGAACCATCGTACCTTCGTTAATTTTAACAAAGCTATAATTGTCAGAAAACATGAATTTTGCAAGGCAATCGCAGCTTCCTCCCGAATGTTCTAGCAGTTTTAGCTAGTGAATGCCTAACGATGCCAGTAAAACACCTGCCGAAACCCTTTGGTGCACAAGATTAAAATAGGCCTTGTCCAACGGCTGCGCAAAATACGAAAATACTCTGCGTTACTTACCAGTGAAGAGGTTCAAGATGTTATTAGGAAGCATTTCATTTCGTCTCAACGATAGTAAGCTACAGAGTACTGACCACACTTAAAATGCCTGATGTAAGGAGCTGTTGTTGTAACAGTTATCTAGTCCCCGCTTGGGTGGCAAGTTTCAGTTTGATTGTCACTTAACAGGAGGCCCAGGAAACGAGCTGTTTCGATGAGGTCGGACCATAGGGAAAGCCTTACATATTGTTCGAAAATTCTCCTTTCCCGAATGGTGAAGACATTTTATTCCAATTGAGTTCTCCTAGGAAATTTTCGCAGAAATCATCCAGTCAGAACAAGAACTCGAGTTGACTGATTGCCACATCTAATATTCTTTAACCCAAGCTTTAATATATTTCACATTACAATCGAATAAGTATATACAATTTAGACACAGTGATATTCAAGTAAAAACACATTTAAATATTTTTTCTTAGTTTTATTTTCATCAATTTTTTTCATCTAAACTAAATTTTATTATAATGTTTTTTTTTTATTTATTATATATTTTTAATTTTCGTGCGTTATTTCCTTCATTTTTTAACGCTTTATTATTTTCGTCCGCATTCTTTACTGCCAGCCATTCTTATTTTTTTGTTTCTCTAATTTTTTGGATAATGTTGAAATTTTTTAAGGTGTTTTCTTCTTTTTTATCTTATCTTGCTTTGTTCATCTTGTATGCTTTTTGTGGCCTTTTTTATATTTTCATTTTTTTAATATCTTTTCGCGATATACAGTTTAGTTTTCATCTTTTCGTCTTTTGTTTGTTTTTTGTTTTTTCTATTTCTTGTTTATCTGCTTCTTTTATATATATATGTATATATCTATATATGTATTATATTTTCTTTCTTTTGCCATTTTTGATTTCCTTTTTTATTTCTTTAAGAGCTTCTTGAATTTTTAATTGCTTGGAAAATAAAACTGTTTATAAACAGGTATGTTGGTGTGTTGCAGTTCAAAAAACATTATAACCAGTTAACCATTATAACGAAAATCCATCTTTTAAATTTTTTTTATATTTCTCGTTGTATTTTTGTCTTCATTATTTAACAGCATCTTCAATATTTTATTTTTATTCGTTTTTCGCTTTAAGCATTTTGGTCCTTCTTTTTAAATCTTTTCTTTTTTATTTTTTCCTTTCTGCTTTCACTTTTTTATTCTGATGCTCTATTCTTTAAATATTTATGACATCATTTTTTAGAAGTTTGGTAACGAACGGCTTTTATATATAATGTTTTTTGAAATCATTTTATATATTGTAAAAAAAAATCTGAAATCAAATTAGTTGGATTATAAAAAGTGTTTAAAATGAACGGGGTATCACAGGATATAACAGTTGGTAGGTAATTTTTGCGTTTTTAAGATGATGTTTTAATGGAATAAGGAGAAATTTTATTTTATAAACAGCACATTAAATAAAAACACGTCCTTGATTAAACACATCTATAGCCTCAAAATTAAAAAAAAAAAAAATAGTTTAAAGTTTATTATTTTACTACTTTATTATATATACTACATTCGAAAAATGACTATGCCCTCTCACCCTGCATTTCTCTTTTCTCTCTCACCTATCAATTATATTATTAAACAAAACTCACTTCGTAAAAAAAAACAATGAAATCAGTAAAATCAAAACAAATCTTTCAAGTGATAAAAAAATATGTGTCTAGTTTGTTGAAATAAAAAGCAATTTGTGAATAATGATACATAAAGCCAATAACGACTTAACTGTGATTAAGAAAAATAAAATATATATGACTTACCTTAGAAGTAAGAATAAAACATTAATCAGTATGGTGCATAGTAATTTGCTCGTCCGCGATAACCCCTTCTGAAACGAAAGCATAGTTCGAGTTAATTGAATGTTTCAAGATAGACAGATTTTTTTACCGTATACTTACATTGGACGACGTGAACCACGGAAGGATGTGTGACAACAAGCGCGTGATATGCGAGCTCCTCGGCCACGGAAACTTCCGCGTGCAAAACGATTTGTCGTAGACAATCCTGGGCGATTAGTGCGCTTAGACATCACCTAATTATAGAAATGTATTTTCATAAAATTTTCGGACATATACTTAGGGTTCATTATAATCATTGTATTTGTGTACAAACCTTAATTTGGCGACCTCTAAATAGAGTCTCGTTCATAGCCAATGCTGTCTCAACAAATTCCTTGGAACCAAACTCAATATAAGCAAAGCCTTTAGGGTGACCATCAGCTTTATTGCATAGTATAGTCACACGGTTTATGGTTCCACAACCATGAAAATGTGATTCTAACTCCTCAGCGGAAGCGCCATAGTCAACATTGCCAACGTATACTGAACGTGTATCAATTTCTTGTTTTTCTTCTAAAGATAATGGCACTGTGGCCAATCCTGTTGTAGAACCAGCCATTTGTTTGTCCACTTCAGATTGCATTTGTTTAATTTTTTCGGCTTCCTCCTCCATTTCCTTAACTCGCGCCTTTATTGCTTCCAGTTCAGGATCGATTTGCATATTGGCTTCCTCCTTTTTAGAAAAAAAAAAAAAAAACAACAACAAAAAAAACACGTTAATTACAAAAAACAAACACTATACAGATAAAAGTAGCATTAAGAGACTATATGCATCAATTTACTGCGAAACTAAACTGCACTCGTACAAAACAGAAAATGCAAATGCCAAACAACTGACTCTTTATATATGTATATTACTCTATGTAGGCGTTATTTTTCATTTTCAGGTTTCTTTTTGTTTAATCTTCTGCACTACATGAACCAGTTATTGTCGAAAATGCACGTATTAAACCGGAATTCAAAGATATTTGTATACCATAAAGGCTTTTCATTATTTTGCAGGTACTCACCTCGTTTTCGTTCATTAGTTCTGCTTCGTGCTCGCCATTTGCCTCATCAAGATTGTCCAGCAGTTGATCTTCGTTCAACGATAAGTCTTCGTCTGCCATTTTACTAATCGATATTTTAAAGCTGCCACCAAATAAACAACCACCCAGGAAAGCTCAGATATAGTTCTCTTTTAACTTTTGTTGCTCTTCTCCAAGCGTAAACGGTCCACTCTTTTGTCTCCAATACTATTCTATGACGTATGAAATTTATATTAGTTTCCTTTTCTATCTCTTGGCAATTCATATGCATGCATACAAATACAATGTAAAAGTATCTTATGCGCGCGCACAAAACTAAATTCGCTCTACTATAGCCGCAGCCATTTTGAGCGAATTGTGCGAGCAAAAGCCAAGGGAAATTTTTGTGGGAAACCAAAAACAGAGCACTCATTGACAGCGTGACATTTTTGTTTTTCCATATTTACCCGTAATTAACTTCAATACTTACCAAGTACAATTAATATGTTAACAGTAAAAATTCACTAAGTTCACGTAATTTAAATATTAAAAATTGTTATTAAATTCCCGCACAATATTAAAATATTTTATTTTTAATTCCACGAAAGTGAAAACTATACTGATTTCTCTACCACCGGTTGTACGAAAGAAACCTACGCAGCGAAATTAGTTGACATATAATTTTAACAGATAGTGTGCGTAATAGATTTCAATGAACATGCAGGGTTGCATTTCGTAGAAATTGTGAGAAAAATTACTTCTGATAAAAAGAGGATATTGTAAATATTTGAATTTGAAATTTTCACAAAATAATAAATATATATATATTTGTATAAATCTTATGAATTATTAGTGATGATAACGAGGAAACCAACATGTAAAATTAATATACCTAATAATAATACTTCTTCATAAATTGTATGTTTTAATACTTATGGCAATATCAAATGTATTCAGTATATTATATACGTTCTCGGCCTCCGCTCATAAAAATATTTTGTTTACTACGCAATGTCACACAAGCAGTAAGATAATTATAATATTAAATACGATGAATATTGACGAAGAATCCGATTATGAAGAAGATGAATTTTTAATTTTTGCTGATTTCAAAAATCAACTTGGTTCCCTTGATTTGGAAGAAAACATAGCAGTGAAAATCATTGGACTTGAAAAGGACCCAGTCGCTGAAGTGAATGGAAATATATTTAAAGGTACTTAAAAGTCTATACGTTCACATATATGTCCTTAACACGAATATTAATAGGAACTTATGATTACCCAATGGGCACGTGCGTTTTCTTTGAAAAGGACTTGGACGCCGCGCCGTCTGATCCTCTATTCGAAACGAGCTGTCGACAGAAATATAAATATTTTGCCAAAACCAATAAAGTTATAAATTTTGAACGTATATATGTTGAACAAAAATGCGACGAAACCATCAATAATGTGTCTAATACTATTAGCACAAACATTTTTCCAGAAAAATCCGAAGACGTTGAACAGGAGCAACATAAAATACAGACTGAGGATGATAAACTTCGAATTAATATTTCATATGAAGATGCTATAAAACAATTTCAAACGTGTGATGAAAACAGTTAATGCATTTATGTACATTTCAAAATACAATATAATATATATATACATCTATATATATATATGTATAATATACAAACATATTTATAAATACTATAAATTAACGTGTTTAACTTTCAACACCATTTCTATTCTTTCCAGTGAAATTTCTTTAAAATTGAATCCACAATGGAAGAAATACTAGGTCAAGAAATGCGCACACCGCTGGTACTTCGAAAGTTTTTAAATGAGTGGAAGACTTTTCTCGAATCAATAGTAATGCCAAAAACTGAATGCGATATACAAAATGCTATGAATTTATCAGAAAATCAAAAACGTTTTAGCGACGTTGTTGCACAATGTTCATTAGAGAAATTAGAACAAGAAAATGATATTAATATTGTTAAATATGAACCAGGTATTACAAATCCAGCACGTATTCCAATAATTGTCGATGACACGAATTTAAAAACATACAAAGAGCTTGTTAAAGGGAAAAACAATACCAGTCAAAATCGCAATCCTTTTAAGCGTTCTCGGGAAACATATGCCATGGTGCCGTTTCCTCGTCCACAGCAAATTGAAAAATATGATTTCAGTGACTTTTATAATGATATAATTTTAAAGATACGCATTTACAGACCAGCACGTGCTGTACACACCGGTCAAAGTTTAGAAAAGCCAGTCTTTGCGGAGGAATTCGAGTGCCTAGGGTCAAATTATCTTAGCGATTTGCGTGACAAAATTTCCTGTGTCTGTAAAATGAAGCGATTTTTTGATGTTAGCGATAACCCAACAGCTGAACTTCCAGGAAAAACTACAGACCCAGCCTTTTTTTTCATAAATAATATTTTTTACAATGACCGTCGAAATCCGGCCAATCCCGATTATTCAGAAGTTATCCGTACTTGGGCTAAGAAAGCTGTGGGTCTAAAGGATTTACATTTTGAAGTGGCTCAAATGGAAACCACGCGTTTTTTAGACTTAACCGTTAGCATAGGTTTTCCGCAATTATATCAACATCACGGAAACTGCGAACATGTGTTTGTCATCTCCCAGATTGGAGTCGTGGCGCCTAGGTTGCAGTGTGCGCAACGCCATATGTATCCTCGACTCTGTTCATTTGGATATTTTAATAATCGTGTTTGTAACATGTGTGGCACACGTCGTTACACCTTTATCGTAACAAAAAGTGATCGTCAACTACACGATCCAGCATATATATGCAACAAGTGCTTTTTTGATTACCACTATATAGATGGGAATAAAATAGGTAATTTCCAGGCGTTCAAAGTAAATGAGGATAATGAGGAGGAAGAGGTAATAAAATATATAAAAAAATCAAGAGTTGAAGATGAATATAGCACAGATGAAAATGATGAAATGCCTAATATGCAAACATCAATAAACAACACAATGTAAAATAGTATATATATATATTGTATTAAATAAGCTAATTATTAATGCTTAGGAATGTCCTTAAAAAAATACTTTAGTAACAGGTAGTTCTAAATATGTTAAAATAAGTACATACATATGTATGTATATTAATGATTTCGCAATTACAATTAGACACGAATGCGTTTCATTTCTTATAATAAATATAAATAAAATAAAAATATTTATTATTTTACTATTCGTATTTATAATACGCTTATGTTTATGTCAAAGTTGGAATCCATATAGGTATGCATATATGTTACGTTTGCTACATGGATAAATTTATCTATGGTTTGCTATTGTGTAGTGTCAATGACAATAATTTTCCCTAATAATTTTGAAGAATGCTGCCGAGTGACAGTTCTAGGCCGGATAAAAATCAAAGTCCGTTCAGGATACGTAGATCCAACACCTACGGGTACGTTTGCTCTCACTTTTTATTAAATTAAGAAGAAGTATATTATGATATATTGTACGTTCTCTGTTCAATGTACCAAAATTGAATTTGATTACTTCTGTAAAATTGAAATGCAACACTGTTTATTTACAACCAGAGCGGATTTGAGTAATTACTATTGACAGTTGCAGAAGAGAGAAAGTCAAACAAAAACAGTAATATCTCAAGAATTAATTCTTTGCAATTTCTTATCTGTTTCATTTTACACATTTTCCTTTTGTATTAGTTGCAAAAAACAGTTTAATAAAAAGGCAGTGCTCATAACATTTTTCAGTGACAGAAATGTCCGAGGAAAAGATAACATGATGTCATACTTGCCCAAATAATCCGCATATCAAAAAAGATATAGACAACATGATAATGTGTGTAACATAGGTGAGATCCTTCATAATACATATGTATATATATTGTTGTTTTAGAACTTGGAATATTTTATATTAATTGATTGTGTATAAAATAAAACCAGGATTAGAGTCATAATGAATGAGCGCATTTACATAAAAAATGTTAATTGTGAGCAGCCGCCAAATATAAGCGGTGGAGATGCTCCTGCTACTAGTCCTACCGCATCCAATCCTACAACTCCCACATCGACACTGAAGGAAAAACGCAACTGGTTCCAATCGCTAACAAGGCGAAAAAAATCTCAATCCCAGGTATCATTGGCTGACATACCATCAACATCTAGACACGTACCACAGATACAAAATAACAACAATGAACCTGTGCAAGTGACATGCACACGGAACACTACAGCAGTCAAGGATGTAAATATCATTAATGATGCTAATGCCTCTGGGCGGAAGCGCAAAGATGGAAAGAACGTTTTTCAAAGGCTGCGTAAGAGAATGGGCTTAAGATTTTCTTCTTTGCGAAATCGAAATGATGAAACTGATAATTCTGAATGTGGTGTCGCCTGTGCTTCAGGTACAATAAATGCTGCCGATGAATTCTCAACCCACTCACCTGTACATGAACCACAGCATTGTGTACAAAACGTAGCAGTTGAAGAAGAAGAAATCGTACCATTTACTACTAGCTATAAACGATTTATTGCGAAAAAATGGTTAGAAAATGAAGAAAGGCCAAACCGAATAATGTATACTGCAAGTTCACAAATGTTAAGGTAAGATGAAAAGTATAACTATGCAATATATTGTTTTTCTTTATACTGTTAAATTCCGTGTATTCCCAAGTTAAGAATGAAAAAACAATAATTTAAAATATTTTTATTACAATCTTATGTTACATCAGCCAAGTTTGGTACTGGGGCGAGATATCGCGACTAGACGCACAAAAACAACTGAGTGACAAACCAACCGGCTCGTTTCTGGTACGCGACTCGGAAACAAGTGGCTGTCAGTTTACGCTTAGTTTTCGTATTGTGAACGTGACCTTTCATTATCGTTTAGAATACCATGATGGCTATTGGCACTTTGAGGAATTACACTATGAGTCCATAGTAGACATGATAAAGGATATACTTGATCGTTGTACCAATGACAATTTTGTATGCTTCGTAAAAGTTCAAAATGAGTTGCAACCACCTCGTCCGGTCATACTGAAGTATCCACTAAGTCGATATTTCAAAATGCCACAATTACAGGACTTGTGTCGACGCGTAATACAACAACATGCCGCAGCGGAAGAAATCGCAAAGCTGCCGATTCCACCAAAACTTCATGATTATTTAAATGTTAGACGAGAGTTAGTATTTCACAGTTAATTAAAAACTCACTAATTTATAAGAAGAAAGTATAGGCTAACAATCTTTGTTGAATATGCTAATTTTGCTATCCTAAGTTAGTAGTTTTATTATTATATATTTAAGTTATTTTAAGAAACGTTAACTAATAATTTAACTCCGACGTATTAGTAATATTAAAAATATGTAAAAGCCAAAGTAAGTATATACATATACAACAAAAATGATTTGTATATTAAATAAATTCAACAAAGCAAATATGTTCGCTATTAGATTTATAGAAACATGCACACATAAGTATAAATAATGTGCCAATGTATATATATTCTAATCAGTTTCCATTTAGTATAGCTCAATTTAAAATGTAAAATAATCATGAAATAATTTAGTAAACTCATAAACAATTCAAGTCCAAAGATATACTTTTGTCACTGTTGAACAAAAAGAAAAAGATGTAAAATGCAAAAACATAAGTATATTGAATATGCATTTAAACAGTGAAACTGTAAAGTTACATGATCACAAAATTCATCACTATACTTTAAGTTATGCGCATATAAGTAGCTTAAATACAAAGCGACGTCATTAAGCTTTATCTCATATTGCTATGATTTATTATCTAAAGTGGGATAATAACGATTAGTTGTAAGTTGAACCCTTATCACAAATTGCATAAAAACCTACTGACTATGGAGGGAACCAAACGCAATATATTGCAAACGATACGCACAAATTGTATTTGTCTATTAAACAATAAATTCAATTTTAGATTAACCATAAACGTATGCCTAAGAAAATATATAGAGATGTGTTCAAAAATAAGACCGATTTTCATTTTTATAAAAACATGTGTAGGTTTTGAGAGAAATAAAAATTCACAGCTAAATTCATTGAAAACAACGGCTGAAACATGATTCCGGGGCCGGTTTTGGTCTTAAAATCACCGAAAACCCAAATTAAGTTTGTACGTGAGCGGTGATATAAAAGCCCACTCATTTGGACTATTCCACATATGGTTTTTTACAACAACTATTTGGAGTAAATATGAATCATAAACGCCATTTCTGAACGATGCTTTTTCGTTTCGATTGGTCTTCTGAACACTTAACAGTTATTTTATTCAAATTATTTCCTTAAAAAATACTCTTGGTTATAAATCGAAAACATTTAAGTATTAAATCAGTAAATATAATATATGTTAAAAAATATATAATTCTAAATTTTTGAGGCATCCAATTATTTTTAGTTTTTAAATCAGCATTATTAAAGCATTCGTGAACAACAGTTAAAGCGAGCTTTTATTGATGCGGTAGTGAGCCAATTCATAAAAAACATCAAATAATTTATTTTTTAAAAGAATTGCAAATAACTCTCTTTTTATAAGAAAAAAAAATTATTCTACGTTTTTGTGACTATCAAAAACTTTTCAGATCATCATCGATTCTGGTTTTGTATAAACGATTCTTCAGTAATTAACATTGTATAAATCTACAATACCGTATGCAATGGTAATTAACAACCTATTTTCATTGGTTATCTATTGTGAATGAATGCATTGAGAACGAAAAGGAGAAAACAGGCGCGTATTTTGTGATCATTTGTCGTTATTGTCGTTTGTAATTTGTTTATGAATGTTAAAAATGAAAAAGTTTCCAGTTAAAATTGATCTTTCAACATTTTTCGAAGACGAAAGAAAATATGTCATAATTCTTGTGGATCCACAATGGAAAAACGTGGAGTATTTACAACGTCGAGTGGAAGAAATATTCGATGTGCGGCCGGTCCGGTTTCTGACTATCGATAATCTATTTATACCTCCACAAGAATCTATTGAAGTTGTAGAATTTACGGAATCTCTTAAGTATGAAAAAACAACATTTTTATTTTTTTTAAATACATTAACATAAATTAATATTTATAGAGCTTTCATACCAAAACGTGCACTGGAGGAATCTCGCCGACGCTCAAAGCAATTGAAACTTGAAACTCAAGCAATTGCTAATAATGTAGAAGAATCGATTGAGAAGAATTTAGTTAAAAAAAGGAAGTATTATACATTGGGTACCGATATTCAAGGAAGCTCTACACCCAATCAGACGAAGAAATCGAGACGTACTCCAAAAATTGTAAATCAGTCACCACCAGTAGATACAATTAAAACAGTGTCCAATGAATCACAAGAAATCACAAGTACTAATGAGCAAGTTAACATATTGAAAGACTGTGAACATTTCCAACTCAATAAAAGCGTGGAAAAAAATTCCATATGCGGAGGTGCAAAATCCATTTTGGTAGAAAAACAAAGTGTAACAATGAATGCGTCGAAAGAGAATACAACTAGTAAACATAAACGTAAAAGGTCTCATAAAGATAGCTCTGCACTGTCTTTGGATTTCGAGCAAGAAAGAAGTAACTGTACATGTAAAAACAAACATTATAGTTAAATTTATTTACATACTTTATATTGGTTCTAATTTTTTGTTTGTATTTTTACAGTAACGTTGCGGCCGGAAGTACCTTCGTCTACATTCCTCAACCATTCTAAACCATCAAATAAATCCTCACATATATACTTTGAAGATTCGACTATCGTAGAAACTACAACCAAGACACAACAAACTACTAATGTCAAAGCTAATACAACCAAAGTATCTTTTAAATGTAAACTAAGTGATGCAGAGTTTGAGAAACCCGTAGTCTTTCCCTTACAATATATTAACAAAAATAATAAACTCCTTAAATCAATCATAGATATACAAGAAAATATACTTCTGCAGCCAGCTAATATCGATATATTGTTCAAAGCGCCGGTTATGAATGATATAGACAAACAGTTGGAAGAAAATGTTTTGTCAACTACTTTTAATACAACAGAGAATAAAGAAAGTGAAACAATTGATGAAATCACGAATGTAACAGAAACTGAAGATAATTTTGAATCCCCAAATAATGGCAACATTATCAGAAATAGTTTGGACCATATCGATTGCAAGTTAAATAGAGACTCTGGTATAGAAAAAGAAATACACCATAACAACTTTAAAGAAAATTCCAATTCTGAGAGTCGCATTAATGATGAGGATGTAACTATTACGGGCGTTAACTCAAAAGATGACAACGAAAAAAGTGTTACGAATCAATCACAAGCTGAGCTTTCCAACAATGATTATAATTTAAATGAGGAAGTACAAAGAGAGACTGTGTCCTCCAATGACAAGATGAAACAAACAGATATGACAAAATCCGCAGCTACTAATATATTAGAAATGTCCGATAATTCACAGCTAATGGACGAAAGCTCTGTCATAGACTTGGATGACGATGATGAAGATATAATTGATTTAAGTGATGCTGATGACCAACAAAAATCGCTGGCAGCAAGTCGTTCTAAATTGTCTGAAACTTTAAATAAAAGCATAAGCACAATGAGTATCGATGAAATGCTTCCTTTTTGTGTGCCACTGACCGGTACACCTGAATTAGGTGATGTTATCATATTTAAGGTAAATTTCTTGGATTAATGTCATATATATATATGTAACTATATTCTTTGTACTTTCTATAGTTTAATCGTCGTGTTTCTGGTGCTAAAATAGATGAATCACAATTCATAGCCTGTAGATGTGAACACATCAATAGACGCACTAAAGCTTTAAAGCTCGCTGTGATAAGTAAGTTTCTAGTTTTTGTTATTAAATTCCCATTTTATTTGTTATTACTACAAATATTTACTTTCAGATGCTAGTCTCGAAAACGATGTCCTTCCTCAGAAGTATAAGTACAGTTTAGATGATTCATTTGAAATAAGATTTATGAATATTAAGTTTACGGATATGATCGATCCTAAGGTATTGAAAATTAGCTGTTAGATTAAGAAGAAAACTATTTGTTGTAAGAAATTAAAATGTTTGATTTTTTGTTTAATAAATTTATTATAAATAAGCATTAGTACTAGGAACGTCTCATTGCTAACATAGTATTGATTTCCCAAATAATTATACGAGTGCGATCAATTACTTCGCGTAATTGCCGATTTTTTAATCTAACTGTCTCAATAAGTTCCTGGTTCTCTTGCAACGCTTTTCGGTATTCATCACATTGTGAAGGCTCGTTACGGTGGTCGGGTTGTTCCTCTTTATAAGTTATTAAGCTCTCCACGTTTGTATAATCCATGCCATGTGGATAACCATCATTACATTTTTCGTATATAATACGTACGCGCTTAAATAATAGTCGTATTGTTCGAAAGTATTCCTGCACTTTTTTTTCTGTACTGTTATCTCGATTTCCTGTTGGCTGAATTACTTTAAGCGCAGTAAATATCTCTTGAAAACGTGAAGTAATATCTTGGACAGTTTCCTGACCCAAGCGAGATAGAGATACAATATTTATTTCTTTATGTGGATTTGGTTGTGATATTGCCAACATATTACTCCCTGTTGCAGATGCCGTTTGTGGCGCAGGCTGTTGTGTATGCATCATTCCTGCTGTATTACCATGTGGCATCTGTCCTTGTTGTTGCTGTTGTACATTCATTGCCATACCTGTAGTCATATGTTGTTGTTGAGGGTGCTGCATTATACTTCCTGAAGCGCTGACACCGATTCCTTGCCCACCACCTCCGACGCCCATCATACCGACACCTACCGGACCACTACCTCCACCACCACCTTGTACCATTTGCACATGTTGTTGCATTTGTTGTTGTTGTTGTTGCTGTTGCATTTGCATTGGCGTATTCATAAGGTTTCCCGGTCCACTCATACCCATACCACTTGGTAACTGTTGTTGTTGTTGTGGATGATATCCTCCCATTGGCATCATACCGCCGCTACCAACACCTATTTGTGCTCCAGCTCCACCCCCAACCATTGCATTCTGCCCCATTCCACCGGTGCCCATTTGATTCATTGTATTTATCATTTGTGGTGATTGTTGTTGTTGCTGAGGATTAAACTGACCGCGATGACCGCCAAGTGGGCTATTGTAACCACTTGGATATTGTCCTGACATATTGAAGATTGATGCAAAAAAATAGCTAGTTAATAGAAGAATCGCAAGTTCCGATGTGTAAACAAAAATATTTAATTTACTGCAATGGATGACAATAAAATTCGAAACATATCGATTTTTATTTTACAACATTTTCAATCGATAACATTTTATTG